AGAAGAAGAAGAAGAAGAAGAAGAAGAAGAAGAAGAAGAAGAAGAAGAAGAAAGAAAGTTGAGTAGTTAAAGACAAAGAACTAAAAAAACAACAAACCCAACAGACAAAGGACTACTGTATGTGTATGGTAGGGAAGTCAGGAAAACCATCCCCTTGAGTGCCATTGCTTTTGGAAAAAAGTGAGGAAAAGCTGGATCAAAAATATTGTGAACACTAAACTGGCTTTACATCTCCTGTGACAGGTCCTGCACAGGTCCCTGAGAACGCTGCTGGGGTACAGCACTGCCACTGTGTCTTTCATGGGCAACTGAAAGCATCAGCTCTAAAGAGCAGAAGGGTTAAGTTTGCTGGTGCAGAGGGGTACAGTGCAGTAAGGGAGTGCACGAGTTCTGGAGGTCAGCAGGTGAGGGGTGGGGTTTTGCTCCATCACTTACATCTATTGATTCCCACTAGACCTACTTTTCTAATCAATAAAACAATCTCTGACAGTCAGACTGTTCTGATACTTAAATGATAATGCAGGTAAAGACCTTAGCAGTGCCTTCCAGATGGCTGACGAGCCCCAAACATGGTCTTAAGTTCTGAGTTTGAGGTTGTCAGATCTGTCTTCTGTTTGTCTGTCTGCCATATAAATCAAAGAGCTCCATAGCTTTCTCAGCATTAATCCGTGGGCATCAATTTTGTTTAGACTGGATTCGAAGTTTCACCTGGGAAAACGCAGGTAAACAGTGTTTATAAACTAGTTGTGGGAAAGTCTTGGAAGAGGAGCTATGAAAGCTAGGAAAACAACACATTCCATTGTGAAGCCACTTCGGGGATGGTATTTTGTTACAGCAGCTTCAGCTAAGGTAAACTGTCAGCTTCAGGAGTGAATACTTTTGAGTCTTTAGAAAAAGAAACAGCCACATTCTGGTTCTGTTCTTACTAATTCCTAACAGCTCTCCTTGTATCACCGCTTTTAGATTGCAAACTGTCCCCCAGGGCTGGAGTTTAGCTCAGCTGGTTTCCAAAATCCTCTCACTTGCAACGGTTTGAGGCAGTGTAACAGTTAGGTAAGGGGTGCAAACATAGCGCACTTCTCAGCAACTCACATTCCCTGAAGAGCGGTGAGTTAAGGGCAATGGTTTTCTCTATAATGAGCAAATAATTCGTGATGTCCATTGTACTGTGAAAAGAGACCGAAGTTGTTGGAGGGGGAGGGGAGTGTACGGGGGTGTTGGCATCCTAAGCCACAAGATCACCTAGGGTCCCAGAAAGCTGTCTTACTTCTTCCAACATCAGAGTCAAGCCCAGTCCATTGACGTATATGTCTCCCTTGACCATGTCATCTTCCTTTGGATTGCTACATATTGGATTATCCACACCATTTCTGCTTCAGTGAACGCTTCCTAACTTACCCATTCATAGAAACACACTCCAAAAACTGTACATCTTGTCTCTTAGACAAACACTATCCTTTAAAACCACACAGAGTTTTGATAAAGTGGGATGGAGCAGTGCCATGCATGAGAAATAAAGTCCTTAAAATGGGCATAGTGGTGCACACCTGTAATCCCAGCACTCCAGGAGGCTGAAGCAGGAAGATCATAAGTTCAAGCCAAACCTGGACAATTTAGTGACTTAGTGAGACCCTGTCTTAAAAAAAGAAAAAAAAAAAGCAAAACAAAACAAAATGGCCTGGGGTCATACTCAGTGTGAAGGCCCTGGGTTCAATCCCCAGCGCTGAAACAAACATACAAACAAACATCCCCCGAAAGGCCTCAGACAGCCCTGTGCTGAGCTTAAGTGGGTGGTTGATAAGAACCATCTGGACAGAACTGAGGGACACTTACCGCGAGCTCCCCGCCGGGCTGGCACACTCAAGAGGTGCGTCTCAGGCTCTTCCTGCCCCAGCTCCTGCTGGGAGCCACCATGGGCCTTTTCTGACAGCATTTCCTTGGGGCCAGCTGTTGGTGGCTGTGGACAGAAGATCAAAGGTTCAGAGGTGTCCAGGCCCTCAGGCGGCTCAGTTCCTCACTGGGGATGAAGTGGGTCACCAGCAAAAGGATGGTGTCCCTCACTGGGACAACCATTGTCCCAGTCATCTGAGGCACCGTGGGCAGTCACACCCTGACTCTCACCCCAGGAAGTGGTGCCAGCCCTGGGGTTTTCTGAGACAGGGTCTCACTATGCAGCCCAGGCTAGGCCTGAACTCACGATACAGCCCAGGCTGGCCTCAAACTCTTGGAGATCCTCCTGCCTCATCTTCCTGAATGCTGGGATTCCAGGCATGTGCCACAACACCTGACACAGCCCTGAGCTTTTTTAATGGGAGTTTTTGTAAAATTACAGAGGCATCCCAAAATAAGATACTTGTTTTCACTTCTATATGTAAAATGTGTAGAGTGGCTGCAGAGAAAAAAAAAAAAAAAGAAAAACATCACAATCAAAAAATTCATTCCTAACTCCAAATAAATTGGGAAAAACTGTTAACTTGTCACCTCCACTTTGCTGGCCCCAGGGAGTAGCCGCTAGTGTCTTCCCCAAACTCTGAGGGGAGGAAAACAAGCAGGGAGATGGCCAGGATGCCTCCCAGCCAGGCAGACAAGGCTAGCTGTCAAACTCTGGCTGTGGGCTGGGGCAAGTTACTTAACTTCCGGGCATGTGGCTTTTCCTTCTGTAAAGAAGGGACATGTTTCCACAGGGAGGAGTGGTGTGGAGCACTGCGATTCTGATTGCAGTCGAGGACCGGGTGGGCCTGGGGCCTTTCAGCAAAGCCATCCCAGGAATCGAGGCTCCAGCGCTGGTTACAGGATGATACCTGTACCTCCGGGCAGGTAACTGCTCTATGCAGAGAGCTGGTATATCCCAGCCTCCATCCTGCGCAGTCAGGAGTAGTTTGGGTCTCCCACAGCCCACTATGTCTGTGACTTCAGACCTAAGTGTGCGAAACTTTTTCATCTGCCACCTCAGCATCCCCTGACCAAGTATGCACAGCAGGGCGCTGACCCCGAGGAAAGGGTGAGAGCTCAGGGTACAGGTCGCCCCAGAGCAACCAGAGACTGGCTCTCCTGACTGCTGGCTGGGCAGCACCCACACCTCCGGAGCCCTGCTCTGCACCGCCTCATCCCGGCCTGCAGGACAGGGGCAGGCTCTGCCCAGCAGAGGGTGCTGAGCCTGGAGGACCTGGGAGGGAGGACTCCTGCCTGCTGGGCTCCCTGGGTGCCCTCCCCTCTTCTCCTCGACCTCTCGCCTCCTGCAGCCTCATCACCCAGCGCCTGCTGGCTCAAGATGGCGCACCCCTCTCCCCCTCCCTCCCTAGCTGGCATCCGGTTGGTCCTGCCCCCAGGAGCCCCTTCCCAGCCTCTCTCTGCAGCGGCTACAGAGTTACCTCGCAAAGGTTTATCTCGTCCCAGCCTAAAGAGGAACTCTTGCAGAGACGAGGGAGGGACAGCCAGCAGCCCCGGAGCCAGGGGTTGGCCACTGGCTCAGACGGAAATGGAATTCGGGCTTGGAGTGAAGAAAGAGGGAGTTCCCTGGGATTTGTAATCCTGCACTGCCATCTACTGCCTGTCCTCATTCATGACCTTGGTGAAATCACCGACCACGCTTTGTCCACGCCTTTTCACTTCTCCCGGGAGTTAAGAAGGAACTTAAAGGAAAATGCTCCAGGTAGAAACCACAGCCCTGTCAGGAGGTTCATCCAGCAGCCCCACTCCAGGGTCCCACGCTCCAGGGTCCCACTGGCCTGCCTCTGCACGTGCATCACAGGCCCCAGAGCACTGAGGGACGCTGTCCCCTCCTGACAGATCCTGTGTCCCCTGACGGTGCAGGGACTGCAGATCACTGAGGCCGTCCACAGGCGCGGCTTCCCTTCACTACCTACCTGTCTCTTTCTTCTTTGTCTTTGAACCTTTGAGCTCTTCTTCCGCCTTCCCGCATCATCCGCCTCCTTGTCATTTTCAGTGGATTCCTTTGTTCAAATGCAAAGGGCGGAGGGGAGAGAATCTTAAGACTGGAAGCAGGAAACGATTTCAAGTATTAGAATTGAAAACACCATGATGACCTCGGAGGTGCACGGATTGAAATCAAGTGGGAGTGAAGGAACAGTGAACACAATTTAAGTGGCCAGTATCATCCACTCCTCAAAAGGACAAGCCCTTGAATCCTCGCATCCAAGAGAAATGGTTGTAAATAGGATATTGGAGCACTGTTGTTGCAGTTCTGCATTTATGCTTTCAAGATTTATTGAGCACTTCCTGTGTTCCAGGGCCTGGGGGCTCGGGAAAGGGTATAACATGCTTCCCACGCACCACTGAAGAAAGGCAGCTAATTAACAAGGAAATCTGCCATGACAGATGGGGAGCCATAGCCCAGGACAGACATCAGCGTCATACTTGGGGTTCCACACCCTTCTTCCCAGCCTTACCAGCAGGTAAGAAATAATGAAAATAAAGTACCTATTGGTAAAATCACCATGAGAATTTCAACGCAGAGGAAAATTGGGCAAATCTTTTTGAAATGGGAAAATCGCAAAGGTCATTTTATTTGCACATTATACTTTTTCGCATTTTAAACATAAAATATCAGAGCTGAAATCTCAAAAGCATTCAAGCTGTGGTTTTCTCGTCCTAGAGTTTTATAGACTGGGGAGCATAAGCTTCTCTGGGGAAACAAGAAGTGACAAGATAAACATTGAACCTCTCCCTGGGAAAACGAACTCATGAGACCTCTTTTTCTAAAATTGTTGTTTTTTCTAAATATGTTGCTTTTATACTAGAACACAAAGCCTGGATCTTAATGACATGATAAGGTTTCAAGGCGGCTGAGTGTAGATTGAGAGGCCAGGCCTATTGCGGAGGAGAGAGCTGAAGTCTGTCGGAGCATGGCTTTGGGGTGGATTTTCCTCATCCTTGGGAGCTGACCTCCCTCTTCCTCAGAGCTCACGGGATGCAGTGCCCTTAGCTCAGGGATGTGCCAACTTAATGACAGGATAATGGGAACACTGAGGTGTGCAAGTATGGCTCTCACACCAACCTGTTTTTATTGGCTTAGAACAGACTCAAGAGAACTCTAGGCCATCTTTTCCTTTCCAGTAATGTTTCACCTTTGATCATTGGAACCCTGTCCAGTGGAACTTGCAATGCGATGAAATGGACGCTCCATGCGGGCACCGGGTTTTGGTCACTGTGGAATTTCTAGGGACTAGAGACCCAGAACATACGTGTTTCGTGCACCAATAGGCAAATATAGATCTTTGTGGTTTGTAGGTGCTTAGTATTATACCTAAAGTTAATCTGTGTGGTTTTTCTAATGTGTTTCCCGAGGATGTCTGAAGCGTTCCCTTGGAAACAGCGCAGTTTCCCTGTCTTTGGTCTTTAACCAGTGAGCTCGTGAGCCCTGGGAGTAGCAAAGACTGAGAGGTACACTCTCTCCTCTCCCCAGTCTCTTTTTGGTCTTTTTAAGACAGGGTCTCGTTATGCAGTTCAGGCTGGGCTCACTTTGTAGCCCAGGCTGATCTCAAACTCACAATGATCCTCCTGCCTCAGCCTCCTATGTGCTGGGATTAGAGGCGTGCTCCACCATGCCCGGCTAAGTCTCTAAATTGCACGTGGCCTCCCTTCTTGGGGTCTGGGCGGGCGTTAGTGAGTCTTCATGCACCGTGAGCCAGAAATTGCAAGACTCTGTGAGAGTGTTTGGTTAGCAAATGTAATCAGTGTAATCTGCAACTGTGACCTTCACTCTGAAAGTTATAGGGAATCGTCCTGTTCAGGGCCCAGAAACAGATCGTGAATGAGAGCTGCTGTATGGTGCCCATGACATGGGGACAGCAGTTTCAGAGCATTTGGGGACAAGACAGACCGGGTGCCTATGGGTCTGCGTCACCCTCACCTTCTCTACTATGTGCCTGAAAACGAACGCCTGGAAACTAATCTTGGCCTGAGGATGCCTCCGTACCTGGAGTCTTTCCTGAATGAAGAACAACCTAACTTAGTATGTGAAGTAACTGAAAGACTAACTTAGGAGTACATATTATAACAAATAACAGTCTCTGTCAGTGCTAGGCAGTCAGTGGGTCAGCTCAGGTTTATATCAGGCACCACTGAGCTGTAACCAAGCATGCTGTTCCTCTGTTCCTTTTCTTCACTTCCGTTTCCCATCTTTAAAAGCTGCCTGACCCTGGGCAGAGAGGTGCTCTTTGAACCTCTTCTGCTTTGAGGGCTGTCCGACTCATAAATTGTCCTTGGTTCAGTGAAGTGCTATTAAATTTAATCTAATAGTTTCCTTAACACATACAATTCGTGCTTGTTAGCCTTCAGTTTCTCATTAAAAAACACATGCTCCAAGGGGGCATGTAAACAACCACTTACCTCTGTAATTATTTTTACTTTTTCTTCCCTGGGATTCATTTCAGCTCTGACGGGTCCCTAAGGAAGAACCATGGGGCTGGGGATATAGCTCAGTGGCACAGCGCCTGCCTGGCAAGTGCAAGGTCCTGAGTTTGAATCCCAGTACTGACAAAAAGAAAAGCAAGAAGAAAGAATAATGAAGTCAGGCATTTTGAAATCAATGAATCATCATTCTTCTTCCATTAATGAAGGTGAAGCTGAGCTTGACAGTTCCCCAAGTGTTTGGGCTGAGAGGACTGCGCTCACAGGAACACAGTACCTGCAGGCGAGGTAGATAGAAGCACTGCAGGAGAAGGCAGGAAGCCATGGGCACATCTGTGGCACATCCTGGGCACATCTGTGGAGTCAGCTCCCCAAGGACAACATCACAGTTCACTCTCTCCCCTCAGCCCTCTCCTCTTCTGTTCTCTCCTCACTCTTGACCTTGGTGTTCACCCAACAGAGAGACGAGAGCAGAGAGAAACCCACGTGCCCCTCATGTCACCCCCCCACCTCCAGAATCTGGTCACCCTTCCGTTTCTCCTTGCTCCTGTGAGCTGGCCTACTCCCTCGAGCCAGCTGCTCCGCCTGTGCCTGGGTCGCCTCACCTCTGTCTGCCAGGGCGCTGATCAGGACCACTTCCCTGAAGTCACCAGGACAGCCACTTCCTCCTGCCCTGTGAGCTCATGCCAGTCAGTGTTAAAGTGCTGTAATGTATCCATTCCTTTAAAATCAAACCTCTCTCTCGACTCTGCCTGTCTTTCTAGCTACTGCTTACTTTTTCAACCTTTCTAGAAAATTTCTCAAAATATTCCGTCTTTCCAATCATTTTTTGAGGGAGGTCTACCACACCCTAAAGTTGCTCTTGTTGAATCTCTAATGGCCCCTGCATCACCTTGGTCCTCATTGGCCTTTACCTCATCAGAAGTACTTAGCAATGACAATGGCCGATTATTTCCTTTTCAAGTACTTTCTTCACCTGGCTCCTGGGGTAAGTTCCTTCCTAGTGTCTCTTCCCACTTCCCACCTGCTCCTCACAGTCCTTTGTGTTTTTTCCTCATCTTCCAACCCCAAACCCTGGAATGTTGTGGGGTTCAGCCCGACCTGCCTGCTCTCTCCTGCCTCTTGGTTTCCCGTGCTATGTACTTCCTACACCGAGAGCCCGAGTCCAGACAGCTCTCCAGGACCCAACTACGTGACCACCTGATGGTCACCATCACTTGGGTAACACCTCCAACCACAGTTCTTGGCTTTTACCCTGACCCTGCTTGTGCTGTAGCCTTTGTGTCCCAATAAACAGAAATCCAGTCATCTCAGGCCAGAAGTCTTTACTTCTCTCTTACCCTTTCCTGGCATATCATAGCTGCAGTGATGAACTGTAGGTATCAACTTGAATGGAGGAAAATAACTAGCAATCTGGAAAGGTATTATTTTGGGTGCAATTGTGAGGGTGTTTCCAAAGGATGGCAGCGTGTGGGTCTGAGGGGGATAGTTGGGGAAGATGTGTCCTCAGCGTGAAGAGCACAATCCACTCACCTGGGGACCCATAGAAAGCAAATACAGAAGGTGAGTTGCTCTCTCTCTCCATCCCATAAGAGCTAGGACATGTTATGGTTTATATCCAGGTGTTCCTCCAAAACCTCACGTGCTTATGGGCTTTGGTGAGGTGGCTGGATCTTGGGTGTGGAATACCGATTTAAGGGTGGGATAAATGGATTAATTTACTGATTGGTTTGGTGTAATGAGAAGGCCCACCCTGTGTGGGTGGCACCAACCAATAGGCCAGTAGCCTCGATGGGCTATAAATGCAATGAAAGAAGGAAGGCTGGTGCTCACCGCCTCCTGCCTGCTATGCTGTCAAGCGTTTCTCCTCTGCCTCGCTCCTGAGCCGTGCAGCCCTGCCTTGTAGTCAGCTGACTATGAACTGAAACCTCTGTAAACCTGAGGCAAAAGAAAATTCTCCGCCTTTAACTTGTGGGTGTTGCATATTTTTGTCCCTGCAGTGAAAAAATTACCTGAGACATGATCCTTTTCTGAAGTTCAGGCTCTTTGGCCTTTGAATCCCAAGACCTACACCAGCATCCTCTGAATCTTAGGCCTTCTGCCTCAAACCCAGTTCCGCCACCGTTTCCCTCATTCTGAGGCCTTCAGACTTGAACTATACCACACTGTCAGCACACCAGATCCAACTCTATCTATCTATTATCTATCTATCTATCTATCTATCTATCTATCTATCTATCATCTATCATCATCACCATCTAGCTATCATACTGGTCCAACTCTTTGGAGAACTCTGGTAAATACAACACTTAATACTTTGAAATCCTGCCAGCTTTGGCTTCAGACTGTATTCAGGATGACTGCTTCTAATGGAAGGACCTTCACTATTAACACCCTGGTCAAGCTCCATCTTCTCCCCGCGGGGACTGGAGCCATCTCATTTCTCTGTCTCCTCCATTGTTCACCTACAGTATTCCCTGCACTGAAGTCAGAGTGAAGGGCTGGAAATTTTAATAAGATCATGTCTGTCCACCAGAATCCTCCAGTGACAGCCCTTCGTCAACTGGGTCAAATCCAACACTCTTGCAAGTCGTCCAAGGCCCTATCAATTTTGCACTTGACTCTTCTGCCTCTGGGCCTCTGTACTTAACTCTTTCTTCTGCCAAGAACTCTCTTTCCCAAGCTATCTGCATAACTCCTGCTCTTTCTTTCGCTTCCTTAGGTCTCTGATGGATTCTTATTTTCTCAGCGAGGTCTTTCCTGACCATCTGCACCATCCTGGAACGCTCTTAGTACCTTACAACGATCGACCCCCTTTCCCAGGGCACTTACACCCTATCAACATATGCACTATTTGTTGGTGTCTGCTGGTCACCCTTAGAATATGGCTATATGAGTGCAGGAGCAGAACTTTGCTCATTGTTTATCCTGGAACCTTGGACCGTGGCACACAATAGACACTCACCAAATACTTGTCCAACGAATGATCAAATTACCACTTATTGGCTGTGTCCTTGTGGCTATGTTCTGGGAATCTTTCAAAGCTTTTCGTCCTGTCTGGATGGTGTGAAAATTAAATGGGAGCATGCTTGGGGAAATTCCAGGCACAGGGCTGGCACCACCTAAGTCCTTCCTAATATGAAATCCAGATTTTAGATGAAAGACTAAACTGGTCCTTTTGTAGAGATCCCATGCCACGGTGACTGCACCGATCCATTCATAAAGGAAGGGCCCCTCCTCAGGCTCCTCCTCCCTGCAGTGCTGCATGGGGGATTCTGTTTCCAACAGCTGCTTTTAGGGGACACACTTGAACCATAGCTCACCATTCAGGGCCACAGGGAGGGACAAATGTTACTCTTTTAAACAGCTCATCTGAGGTGTTCAACATTTCCCTGGCCCTCCTGCAGAATTCTCATGTTAAAGGAAAACAAAGCACCTGAAAACCCATTGTGTTCCACAGGGGCCTCAAAAGGTACAACAGGTAGAAGAAGGGGAAAGATGCAGCCAACTGGGAAATACAGAGGTGAGAACAGAACGTAGAGAGGACCAGGGAGAGAAGAGGAGGAAGCTCCCAAGGACCTGAGATTTCTCCAATAAACAACTCTCCGCATCACCAGCTAGAAGGAAAGAACTGTGAAATATTTTAGTAAGTAAAAAATGACTCTCTATAAATTAAAGAAAAATCTTATAGAGAAGGAAAAAAATAGGAGTAAGACATGACAAATGTAACAGAATTTCCTTTTTCTCCTCATTTTTTCCTGCTCATTACCTTTGAATGAATTTCTAAGGAAATGAAATGACACTGAAATTTATTTTTCTTATGAACACTGTGGCTAAGAAAACATAAATCAGTCCTACTGCACTTTAGTAAGCCGCCTATCACCATCATTTCCACGGGGCACTTGTTAATCTATTCCCATCAGCAACATCAAAATAAGAGTTGTGATTGACTGCACGCCTAGTTCGTGCTCTCTTTTGATGCCTGTTCCTTTATTCCTCCCGTTGACACTTCCAGCTTAGTAGTACACGCACCAATTTATGCGCAAGGGAACTGAGCCTGTGACAGCTTGCGTGGTTTGCCCAAGGTTATAGCGATGGACTGTCGCATTCAGACTTTGGCGTCTGGACTGCGATTCCCAAGCCCTCCCCTCTGCCCGTTCCTCAGCACCCACATCATTTATCCTTGCTTTTGCAGGGTTATCAGTAGCCACTCTACCCTAGGCTGCTCTGGGAGTATTGACAACTGAAAGTTGGAAGCCCTGTACCAGTGGGAAAGGGCTTAGGCTATGTGAAGTCAGTGATTTATTTTACTCGGGGGAGGGGAGAAAACCAAATATAGTTTCAGAGAAAGTACTGACACCTTCATCTGAACCAAAGGGTCATCCAGCCACAGCCAGAGGGGTGATTAGCCAGGAAGCCAGCGGGGTGCAGGGGAAAGGAATGCCTGTATAGGAAAGAGGAAGCATTGTACTCAATGTAGCTGAACTGCAGGCCCTTAAAGCCTTGCAGAGATTCACAAGAATTATAGCGAAACCACGCCTTTATAGAAACAGTGAAGACTTGGTAAAAATTTTTAGGGACCTGTGTTCAAATTCAAGCTTTACTTATCAGAGGCATGATCTCGGAGCTGTGCTCCCACTTCTCTGTGAACAGTTCCCCCTGTAAAATTGTCATCATATTATCTACTTAAAAGGGTGGTTAGCGGGCTGGGGATTTAGCTCAGTGGCACAGCACCTGCCTGGCAAGCTCAAGGTCGTGAGTTCTATTCCTCGTACCAGAAAAAAACAAAAACAAACAAACAAACAAACAAAAAGGGTGGTTAGCCTATAGAACCTCCGTGATACAAGATGTGTAGGAAAGTGCCTAGCTTGGACCTGCTTCTCTATTTCGGTAGGTTTTTTTACTAAGAAGAAGCAGGGTGTGGTGGTAAATGCTTATAATCTCAGTGCTCAGAGAGGCTAAGGCAGGAGGATCTCAAATTTAACCCAGAGCCTGGGCAATTTCACAAGACTCAAAAGAAAAGATACAAAGGGGTTGGGATGTAGCTCAGTACGAGGGCCTTGTGGTCAGTCCC